AGGGAAGGGAAGGGAAGGGAAGGGAAGGGAAGGGAAGGGAAGGGAAGGGAAGGGAAGGGAAAGGCTGTAACTTGTCTAATAAAGTGATTGGGAGACATGGAGATCTGGTTTATGAGCAAATGAACAGGTCATTAAAGAAGAATTAATAAAAGATCAGAGTGTAAAGTGCCGACATAGCGCAGAACAAATGCAGGGAATTGTAACCCTGTTAGTACAGAAAACTGTGAAACAAATTGCTCACCTAGGTTCTCTTCTCCATGATTGTCAGTTGTATAAAGACTGTGTACATGACTGCTGCATCCACAAAATACAGCATTCAAATCACCTTGCAAGAGATCTTGTTTGTTGAAACCAACAAGCATTTTTTGTTGCATAACTGGGACAAGTAGAAGGAAGCAAAGTGGGCTTTGTACTTTTATGTGAGGGATCTATTCCCTTGGAAAGATATACCTTTAAGGCAGTAAGTATTTCTATGATAATTCACCAAAACCAAGTTTTGCACCTGTAGGCAAGCAGACCACTGACAGGATAAGATTTTTACAGTGTAGTTAAAGGAATGACAAAGATATCCTGTTATTTAAAAGAAGAAGGAGGAGAAAGAGGAAAAGAATAATGAACAAGGAAGAAAAAGGTCAATCCACTATTTCTAAACAATCATGTTGTAATATTGAGGGTCTTACACTTCTCTTATGGGAGGACCATGCTTTCACTTCTCAGAGCATCTTCAGTTTCTCTCAGGACTGCACCTTGTGGTCTTCTGAGTAACCACTCGTAAAAATATTTAATTTTTTATTCTCTTTCTTACGACATTTGATGACAGAGAAACAAAGGAGTCGGGTGCTGTCAGTGGGATGTTTTGAAGCTAAGCTATTGTTTGAGCCAATGCAATGATTAGATTGCCTTTCCAGATTAAAACAGTTCTGGAAAAGGAAAAAAATAAGGTTAACTGTCTAGTTTCAACTGAACACATTTGTGTATTTTATACCAACTAAAATGTTCTGACTAAAAAAAAAAAATAGACAAGTGGCTTTAACTTAATTTAGTAATTGCATATGCTATTTTCACATTAAAAGAAAAGACTAATTAATAACAACTGTCGTTTAAAACCCAGTCACTTTACAAAAGTACATTTCTCCATAGATTTCCATCATGGTTTTTACTATGACTAGATTAGGACAGAACATCAATACCTAAATACTTCATTGCTCAATAGACTAAGCTTCATTTGAGCTGTTCCAGTCTATTATTCAAATTGTATAATATTAAAATTTATTGATAGGTATTTAATTGGAAGATGACAGCATCTCTTATTATCTACTTAAACCGAGACCAACAGCTGAAAAATATCAGCATGAAAGCCATACAAACAAAAATCTTTGCTGAGATCTTACACTGAACAAAATCACTTCAACCCACAAATTACAATCATGTTAGTGAGTAATTAAAGCAAGGGACAAAGTCAGGACTACAATATTCTATTCCCAATTCAGCTACTGACTCACAGTGTGATTTTGCTCATTTACCACCTATAAAATGGAAGATGAGATAATGATAATGACAGGGATAATAATGCCTACACAAAAGAAGTGCTAGGAGTCTTAATGTTTGAAAAGAGTTTTGAGATAGGGCTGCTATATAAACAGAGATTATAATTAACCAGGGACTGCAAGCTTGCACGACTGGGACGTTCTTTGGGCTTTCAGAAGCAAAGATAGGTGAACTCTGTATATCTGAGTCCTCTATTGTAAGAGCTTATTTGGGAAATTATGTTACACAGCTGCCATTACACTGTATTGGAGCCAGGCTTTTAAGAGGTCCTAACTATTTGCCAGTCATTAACACAAGAAACTTTAAAGGCAGTTCAGAATAATCTCATCACTCTGACTACTGGCTCCAGCTTGTCTTATTGTATTCTCTTCTTAGTAGAGATGTGTTACAATGCATTTGTATGAAAGACAGGAGAACATGAGCAGATGAACCTGGAGAAAAGGTTCAGTGCCTTAGTGAATGCTGAGTGCCTGAGGCATAGGTGAGCTTGGAGATTTTCTTATACTATAAATCCGTGCCACCAAAGTCTCTGAAAATGGGCAAACACAACCCCAACAATAATTTTCCTGATCAGTTCAGACATCTGCTCTGAGCACAATGATATTCTTCTGTTGTTGAAAGCCTTTGAAAATAATGGGTTGCATTAGAACAGAAACCTAGTAAAAAAATGAAAAAGAAACTTCAGAAAGGTGAAGTCTCCCTTGCTGAAAGGCAAATCAAACAATAGCTTTGGAAAGATAATATACTAAACAAAAGTTATAATAATAATGAGAAGCAGATGTATAGATTGTAGAACTTTGTAGAGCACAGCACAGTATCACTCTGTAAAACAAGTCAAAGGCATCTGCAAAGGTACATTGGTCTCTTTTTCTTATATAATCAATTAGATGCATTTAACAAACTAAATCAGCTAAGAAAAAGAACAGTCTGTAAGTAATCTTTGTGTGCAAACTAATTATTAGTGCAGAGGAGCAGCAAAGACATCTTTTAATAGCTTGTTTTGTAGGAAAAAAAAATTATATAGGACTAGATTTGTGTAAGGCTGGCAGACTGCAGGAACATGAAGAGATAATAAAGGGATATTGTAGGTATACATTTTTCTTAAAGATATTCCAGTGCATTACCAATACATTTCTATTTCACCCCAAAACATGGAAATCTCTCAGACCTTCATGAAATTAAAAATCTTCTAAGTAAAGGCTATAAGAAAATGGTTTGATTCTTCTCAGCTAGTTATGTTTTATTATCAGTAATTGTGTTGCAATGTTAGAAGTCCCTACCGAGTCAATGTCATGATACTGAGGCATTAAAGAGGGATCATACTTTACGAGACCACAATTTGATTAAAGGTAACAACAAGGTAAAGTGATTTAGCTAAGGCCACAGAAAGGGTCAGTGGCAGAAGAGCAGCCCCTGGACTGCAACATCTGCAATGTACATATGGAGCATAAAGACAATGCTTTCAGCTTAAAATGGTAGGCTACTGCAAACCTGAAGAAGTTAAAAAGCTGTAAATATCTTTCATCCAATCTAGCTGCCCTGCCATGTTAGGTTTCATTGCCCCACTTATCTCTGTTTGGCCATGTCTCTGGAGCAGCATCATCCTTATTTCATATCTCCATTTTGTTATTTACCATTTCAGAGTTGAAGAACAGTTAGCTGGTGACAGGAATAATCACAGGGAAAACCCAAGAAAAGTTATGGGGAAGAAAGAACAGGATGGGCACAAAGCATGTCACTTAGTGTTGCAAGATTTCTTACTGCTGAAAGAGTTCATTTTGTGACAAAAAGTCCAAAAAATGCTCACATTTCTGTGGAAGCAGAAAAACATAGAATGCTGCAGTTTTCCTCTTAAAAAAGATTGAATAAATGATCATGTGTCACTGAGTAAGAAAGACTGGGAGGAAATTTATGAAGATTCTCTTCTGTAGCTGCCTTTTAGTCTTTTCTGAACATCTATCTGAAACGCTCAGCACCATTTTCAGCAATAGCCTAGATACTGCTTGTGTGAGGGTTGTTTTTCTGTCCTTAATTGAGCAGAAAGTATGGTGCATCTCTGATTTGTTAGTCACATTACTGGGGAGCAGGATGTTGGGAGAGATTTCTGAGGACAGCAAGTGGGATAAACCCAAACAGAACTGACATAAAACATGACATGTCAAACACAAACTTCTGTGGATGGAAAAGAGCCATTTGTGCTGTTGTACTAAACACAATGTTTGCCAGGATTTTTGCCCATGGAACACTGAGAGGACCTCAAATCTACATTGATAAAAGCTACAATTCCCTTACTTGTACCCTTATTTACAATGAGGGTTCACATCATTTTCCCCTCAGAACCCCTTTGAAGACTTTTGAAACACTTTTGTTTCTCTACATTAAAATAACTTTGATGGGCATTGCTTGCAATAAGAAGGAAATTGTTTCTTCTCTTTCAGAGATGTTCCAAAACCACAAAGAAAAGCTGCAATGAAGGCTTTAGAGACTGTGGTTAGGCTTGTTTCATACTGTATTGATCCTGGCACTGCTCTTCTCAGCTTAGAAAATGATAGCTTTCCTATTGCTCAGCCTCATTTTGCCATGACCCTCCTGAGGAAAGCTGAGTAGGAGGCACAGAAGTGTGTGTCAATGGAGAGCGTTCATTTGTGAGGGTGGCTGGGCATCATCCAAATGAGCAATATTTTATGATATTTTACTTTAAATATTTTATAACATTTTAATTAAAAATAATCAATATTTTATTTTTAAAAGCCTTACAGAAGATTCCCTGCCTCCTCTTTCTATTGAGACCGGTGCTCTCCTTTTGCCTTACCACAGCTTGGTCATTAATACCTGTCTTGCTTTGAGCTTCATTCACTTTCTTCGTATTTGTTTTCTTCAAGCTTCATTCACATTCTTCCTAGCATCCTCAGCAGGCAGCTGACCTGACTGCTTCCATTCTCTTTTTCAGCGTCAGTATCCCCAGGAGTTTGCAGGCCCTCTGTGTTCCCAAGTCCCTGTAATGTGGATGGGAGAGCTTTGTAGGCTGGCTGTGTCATGTGTCCATCACTGGATCTCACACACACTTCAGTGGTAATCTCTCCATTCTAGAAATTTTGTATCTGAAGCCTAGAACACACTTCTTCAGATTTGGGCTGTAGAGAAATAAGGTCTGTGGTTTCAAGACAGTGGAGTCAGAAAGTGGGAAACACCAATCATGTAAATGGCATATATGCGCTCAAGAGAATTTCTACAGCTGAACAATGCATACATGGTGTTTTATAAATGGTTTGGTGTAGGTGAAAGATGTTCTAAAGTTCAAGAAGAAGCACTGAAAGCATTGGCTACACAATTTCAGATTCCCATGGTGGCTGGCTGAAATACATTCTTGGCTTCTTGTCGGGTATCAATGCCAGCTGCCTGGGGGGCTGCTGAGCCTCCAGTGCTGCTCTTGCACTTTTAATTACCATTGCCACCACGGAAAAACTGTTTGGCATACTACTGCATAAGTGACTAAGGACTCCAAGACACATTTATTCACACATTTATTCTTCAAATCTAGCAACTTTCTTTATTGTGTGAAAACTAAAGCATTTCTCCTATTTTTATCTCTTTGCAAATGTGTCCTGGGGATCTATTCTGGCCTGGGTTTCTTCCCTCAGTGACCCCCTCTGGCTTCTGAGTCATTGCCCTGCAACAATATCAAGATTTCAAATGAGCAAATGAGCACAGTTCTCACCACCATATTCTGGTTTCTCCATCTTTGGTTTGCACTGCTCATCCCTCATATCCTACACATAAGGCAGATTTCTCAGCATCTTCGACTTACTTCCTTTATGGATGGCATTTCTCAGGTTGTCAGTTCCACATCGTCTCCAAATCTGCACATCTTGTTCTACATTTCCTTCTGTAGGATAACCGCTACCTCCTATAAATAGCAGAAACAGAACAGCTCAACATATTGCCACTTGTCACTCTTATCCCACTGTCTCTCTCTACCCCTCTGTCCCATTTGCCATCTCTGGTTTCTGTTAGCAAACCAGCAGAGCTTTTCATCACCACCAGAGTTCCTTTGTTAACCTTACAGATTACTCTCTCAGTGGGCACTGAAAGCTATCCAGAAGTCCTTGTGAAGGATGCCCACACATTCACCCTGTTTCATTCCCATTTTCTTCATTTGGGCAAGATGAGCCAACATGGCCAAGTTTGATCTTCTTTTTTTCTGCCTATGCTGAAAGTCTCTAACTAAACTGTGCCTAAGTGTTTGATATTTGCCCCTCACCAGCTTTGCTGAGTCTTAGAACAAAAGCCAGAAAAAGGTTGAGCAGTTACCATTTCTTTTCTTTTGATCTTTTTTTTTAGAAGCCAAAGTAGATATCTGTTCTCCAAGAGCAATAGGCTCAATCTTCAGCTGGCATCAGATCAATAGAGCTACACAGTTTTTAGCCCAGTAGAAGTTCTCTGTATCTTCAGCTTCTAGTACACCTATCACTGCATAATCTGAGATCTGTGAGCAGTTCGTGTCACTTTAACAGGTACCACTTGTTACTGAGCACACACATGCTCACGGCTGAGCTGAAATCCAACAGGCATCAGCTTCAGTTCTGTGAAGGTGGTTTAAGTTAACACATTTTTCCTCTTACAGCCAGGCAGGGCTAAGAGCATGCACCCACACACTTGGGAAGCCTCAGCATATGAATGGTTATTTATTAAGAGGCAGGACCCAATCACTTTCAGTTAGTGCAAACTATTCTGTCTCTTCTATTTCCATTGGGAAGTTTAAGTGTACCAAAGTGCCCCCTTGGAGGTTTCTTTGACTCTGGCTGTGTTTCTAATCCTTCAGACATTTACTACCCCAGGCTTCTTGAAGCACACATAGCAGACAGCATAAATCTTCTGTTCTGCTTTGGTTTAAATATGCTCCTCTCATAGTGCTTTCTCAGTAAAACCTTCTACTTTTGGGTGCTGGAAGATACAAATGAACATCTCTCTCTGAAGTGTCAATGTCTATGCTTGACTGTGTTGCCGAGGTGACAGGAACAGGACAGCTTTGTTTCCTTTTCTGTCTGCAAATGTCAGAGATTCCACAGGCAATTGTCTACAGTGGAACTGCAGAACACACCCACTGTGTGTCCATAAACACGTCTACTCAGATTATGTGATTTTGCTTATTGTGGGTGAGCACTTTCTCTGTCCCAGTAAGAGAGAACAGGACAGCACAGGAGCCCTCCTTCTCTGCACCTGCTCCCCCAGCAAGTCTGGAGGAAGCTGCTTAGGAAACATTTTGAGTGAACACATTTTGGATGCCCAGAGAATGTACTGGAAACAGGATCCTCACCATGATGGAGAGGCAAGTCAGACCATACCCCACAGCAGAGTGAGGCAGAGGGAACACTTTTTTTGGCCTCTTCAAATCTGACCTTGCTGGAGACAAACTTCTTTTGATGCCTCTCAGTGTGAGACCTGTCCACTCAGAGCAGAGCCTGGGCACCACCTCCAGATACAGCAGAGGGACAAATGGTTGAACAAGCACCAGCTCTGCTCAGCTCTGCATTTCCAGCAAGCTTAAGCTATGGAGCACTTCGTGTACACCCTGCCACAAGGATTTTCACCTTCCTTGTTCCGGTAGTAATGTTAACTCACCTGGTTAACTCTTGTCAATGTTCTGATAGTAATTTTACCAAAAACCTTTCATCCTTGTTCTAGTCACCAGCTAGAAAAAAATTCTCTATTAGATTTGGTTTGATTTGATTTACTAGGGAATACAACCATGTCAGGAGACCACGCTACCTTTCTTTCTCTAAAGATTTTTGGGATCTTCCCCTACACATGTACACATGTGATCTCAGTTTTCTACATTTAAAGCAACTTCTGGAGGCTCTGTATTAACTCACAGTCCTCTAGCTGTTTTCTTAATTGTTTGAATCAGTGTCCATATTTGTGGAGCCTGAAATATTTTTACCACTTTTGTTTTCACTTCTGAATACAATTTGGAAGTTATTTCCAAATGTTTGTTTTATAAGCTGCTGTTATGCACTCATCTTAAAACATATCCTGTTTTATGCACTGTTGTTTATAACGTCTTTGGAAGCTGAAACTTCAATATATTTGCTCTATGTATTTCTTTCTGATGGTAAAATACATATTGTTTTATGATTCTAGGATTACTGACATCTGTTGGGCTCTAAGCAACTTTGCAAGATCAAAGGAAGAATCAGATTCTTATTTGCACAACAGGTATAGCCAGGGCTGCAGCAGTTAATGCTAACAACATTAGCAGTATCTTAAATGTCATGTCTCAAAACAATCTAGCCTAGATTAGAGTGATATCAAAAGTGTGGGCCACATAATCTGCCCACTGATATCATTGATGTCTGAATCACACCTTCCCAGCTTTTGTGAGGATCCATCTAGTTTTCTCTCTGGAGAAAACAATACATGCAAAAACACAGAAGCAGTGTGAGCAACTTCTGCTCTGGTTGCCTTTGGCCCTCTACTCTGCAGCACAATCCACTTAGCTGCAAGTGGACAAATAGGGGCCAGAAAAAACTCCCAAGCAGACTTTCAGACTGAGGTAGGGTCTGGGTATGACTCTGTATTTCACCTGTAAGATTATTTTGCAAGGGTGTCTGTGGTTAATATGCACTATGGTAGCAAAGAGAGTTTATTTCTGATTTGGAAGGAGCCCGTAGAACTGCCAATTGATAATGCAAAGGAAATGTTATAACCAGTTAGTTAACTTCCTCCAACCTTCGTTTCAACGCAGGGGAACATATCTGTGTTTGATCAGCCAAAAATTACACACCCTGAGTTCAGATTCTGCTTTGATCTTCCTTTGATCATACACTTCCCAGGAAAAGAGAACTTGCTTGCATTTAAGGTTTGACTGCAGAATAAGGAAGCAGACACAATGAACAGGAGGCAGACAACACATTGTATTGATTCCAGTTAGTAAGTAGTTCAGTTCAGATAAATATAAATTTGTATGTATAAATATGTGTATATATACATGTATATATATATGTGTATATATATATATACACACAGATATATGTATAAGTGGAGATAAACATATATAATTGAAATACCATGGACACAAAAAGGGATATTTTCTAATATTTTTGAAATCCAGTGTTCTACTGTGCTTTGGTTTACAGTCAGTGGTATATTTAGAGAATATTGTTGCGGTGTTTTCTTTCTTAGTTGTATACCTCATCTTTCCCACATGAGGGTACAACTGAGCAAGATGTAAATTCACTTGTGGATGATCAACCATTATAATGTGAAGTAAAGCCATCCCCTTCTCCATCCTAAATTAAGTCACTGTTAAATGTGGCTTCTCAGCCTGGAGTTGTCAGAGAGCTCTGTAGTGGCCAACTGCATTTTTTGCAGTTATAGTTCTTATTTTATGGAGCACTCGAAAGAAAAAATAATTTAGGAATAAAACAGTGTCTTCCTGGTTGGATGGTGAGGCAAATGAGAAGCCATGCTTCAGAGAACATTTGCCATGTCTAGAACCCAAACCAAAACACAATATATTCACAGGCACGGCCTCCCAGCAAAGCCCTTGTCCTTTCCCTGCTGCAGCTTGCACAGCTGTGGACACCAGGGCAAAGTTCTCCTCAGTACTGTGGAGCAAGAGCAGCAATATAATAGACCTCTAAGTTACTTATGCTGCAAGTCAGTGAATTAGTTAAAAACCTAGTTTTTCAAAGTAAACCTTGATTTTTCAGGTGAATACCCAGATGAGTCCATAACACCTCACACTAGGATTCTAGGACATGTAGCTCTGGATGAACTAGCTCTCCAGGCCTTCTAATATTTATTTCTCTTAGGAGAGGAGAAAAGTGTACTTCTTCATGCACTAAAGTTCAAACCAGTCGAGGGAGTCAACTGTGCCCCTTAGATAACTTCACCTCCCTACCTCAAGGCAACCTAACTTTACTTTCTTAAATGTCTGGGTAATATCTTACACCAGAAATGAGATTGTGTTTGCTGGTATTTGGTAGTGGCCAAATGCACAGGACAGCACAGGGACGGAACGATGTGAGTATTGCTCTTGTGGAAATAAAACTCAAAGTAATTTCAGAAGCATAATGTATCTTTCAAACTTGGACACAGCTGCAGAATTAGTCAAGAAGAGATTATGGGGCAATTCCAGCGGTGTTTAAACCATGTATACCCTGATCATCTTCTGATACAGGCACATAGGCATAAGATAGTCACACTCTGGTAGCACATCCTTTGGGGACCTTTAATACTTCCTGACAAAAATCTATTGGCCATGTGAAACAGAAACAAAAAAAAAAAAACCCTAAGAAAACAAACATATGATACAACTTATTCTTCCTGGATTCTCTTAAAGCTACTATAACATTCCTCATAAATTATCTTGCAAAATCTTGAGATTTAGAAGCAGCAGCGATGGCCACATTCCACCACATCTCCTGCACCATCAAGTGGTTAGAATCACACATCACAGGTGTGTGGAGGTGCTAAGAGGAGAAGGAGGCAGCTATGCCTTTATCTGTCCTCCTTCTGCCAATGCTGAACAGAAAAGCAAATGTGGCACTGTCTCAGCATTCATAAAAGAATGAAGAAAGTTCTTACTAATTATGATGATATACGTTTAGCTTCTAGCGCTGGAAAAAGACAAAAAAAAAAAGCAATAGAAAAAGTCTTCTTAAGAAATAGTCACTTCATTTGCAGAGAATAATGCAATGATGAGCAATAAGAGGCAGGATTTATAAAGAATAGATCTTGCCTGACAAAGACAATCCTTTTTTAAGGAATTACTAAATCAATGGATGACTGGAAGACAATAAATGTAATACTCTTGGATTTAAGCCATTTTTTTAAACAATTGGTCTGATCATCCTCTGCCTCAAAGCCAGGCAGCTACACTGACATAAAACAGGAGAGCATGAGAATGGAAGATTGCCTCCAATGCTTCCCAAAATCATTCTTAAAAAGCTTGACTGAACTTGCATGAGAAAAAAAAATATCTCATTTGGTCTGAAGTCTGAAATGAAGGACGAAAACAAGGCTAACAGACAAAGAAAATAACACCAGTTTATAGGGAGGACATGTAAATATTTAAGGATCAGGGTTTGGTTTTGCCTGGTGTAATACTTCCAGTAATCACAGAATTACAGAACAATCTGAGTTGGAATGAGGTAGAAAGAAGCATAAACAACATATTAATAATATTCATAGGTGTTATGCTAAATTGAGAAAAGATGAGAAAACCAGAGAGGCCAACACCATGGGGCAGAGGGATTAATTAGTAACACAGACCAAAATTAACAGAACGAGAATCACCTTGGAAAAATACCATAAAGGGCAGGCACTAGAGAATGGAAAATTAGCTTGGAAGATGATTTCTATTAGCGGAAGGTTCTTTGATGACAGAAACGTCATAAGGGCTAAGAGGATAAAACCCAGCAAGTTACTTTCAGGCGTCAGAGAAATACAGTAGTAGGAAAGGTCAGTGTAGCTTGTGCGTGTGTATGCAAAGATGCTGCAGCTGAGAGAAGCAAGAGTCATTCTCTTCAAGACTGAGGTGGATTGTGTGGGGAATATTGCTTCATTTCTAGGGAGATTTTCACAGACTACAGGGCTGTTTAAAGAACCACAGCACAAATAAGAGCATTGAGAGGAGCTGGTGCCCGAGGAGTGATTAAATTAGAAATGCACAGATTGAGCAGTGACCAAGTGTGTGACATTAACATTGAAAAGGTGCAATTAGTAATCAAGAACAGAATAGAAATAGGGGCAGCAACAGGAACAAAAAGACAGCAAGAAGAGATTTGCAAGAGAGACCCAGAGGACTTTTCTCTCTTTACTGATTTTACGATAGGTATAACAAACTTAACAGCTACACAGCCTGGGCTTGGCTAGAGATCCGTGCCAGGCTCAATGTGCTGAGTCTTCTTATTTCCCTCACTCTTTTAGTTGTACCTTGGGCTCAGTTCTCAGTGTCCTGCCTCTTGCTCTGATTGCCCTGGCCGTGTTCCCAATCAGGTCTCTCTCGGCATTGAACCAGATGTGCATATCCTTTGTTTGAGATACTATCTATAACATGTCCTCACTCCCATCAGGACAGGACGTATTTCCACAGGACCTGGTTCCTTCCTAGCAACATGATACTTAGGATGGTTTCTGCATTGGTATTATTTTGACATCTCAAGAGATTTGTCTGAATATTTCTCATGTAGTCCTAATTGAGATTCTCTCCAAGCCTATTCCCAGCACAAAAGAAGATGCAGAATTTGCAGGTAAAATTGTGTTCCTAATGAAATTTGGAGTGAAAAGAAAAGGGTGAAAGAGCAGAATTGTATTAAAATCTCTGAGAAGATGCTGGGGTAAAAGAGGAATTGTCCATAAGGAGGCTGCCTATGGAGTGTTTGGCACAAGTCACTAAACACAAAGGCTGACACACTAGAGAACATGACCAAAGCATCTAGATGGAGCCAAGGTTAAAACAGATGAAGAGAATTTTCCAAAGGGTTAGGTCTATCATTGGTAGGTCATGTAAAGAAAGATGAAGAAAATGCTTTCTGTTCATCCTAAAACACCCAAACATTGTCTTATCTTACTGCCTCTGTCTCAAGACACAGCCTTTATGGTCACAGTACACATGAAAGGTCAAAGATTTCTGCTGCAAAACCACAAGAAGCTTCTCTTAAACATTTTTTCACTGGAAATAGCTCCCTACATCCACAATCCTCCTTTTATAGAATGAATTTTAATAGGTATCTTTTTTCTTTTGTTCCTCCTGACTGCTTCAGTTTTATTGTGGCTTTGCCTCTGTTTTCATTTTCATGCTCTTTCCCTTCTACTGCATTATGAATTCTCATTTTACTTGCTGAAAGTTAGAGCTACTGTACATATATTTAGAATACATGGGGGTGTATGTGGATACAGATATTAATAGATACATAAGCATTACATAGCTCTCATTACTGTTCCAATATTATCAATTTTATTCACCATATGTCATGCTATGCAGTTCTCACCTTCACTAACTTTGTATGGCTGTTTGCACATGGTCCATTAAAAACACACACAAATATCCAGTATTTCAGTATTCAGGATACCTTTTCGCTCAGATGCTTCTTGGCTCAAATGTGATACAAAGAACCTGGTAATAAAAGAATATCAGAGTAATGTGGCTGACATTTGCCCTGAAGAGGGAATTTTATGGTAACTAAAGCAGCATCAGCATAAAGCTGTTTTATCACATTTAAACAATGGGCAGAGACATCAGCATAGACAATCAGAAAACAGTTTACATCCTGCTCATCAAAGAGAATTCATGTTCATTTTCATTCCACAGCATTTGTCCTCATTTTTACATCATAAGGCCAAGGAAAAAAACCAGTCTAGTGCCATCCAGTACTTTATAAATCATAGCATTTGAATATTTTGTTCTATATGAATGGCTGATGTACCTAAAACTAGCACATCTTTTTGTATTTTAAAACTTCATTTTGCATGAAGACACTGGACAGAACACAGCATACTGCCATAATAGGCAGGAACTGATGTTTTAAGAATTCAGCTCTGCAGGTAACAAAAAGTTAAAAAGCAGGAATAAATTCCCTTTTGATATAATTCAAAATCCCACAGCCAGATACTGTGTTTCATTTTGATCTCTATACACTGCACTTTCAGCTCCATTTTCTAAGGCATTATAATCATTCAGCCATTAATATTTCTCATCCCTTTCTAAACCTCACACCAGATAGAATCAGCCCCTGGGGAACATCTCCAGAAAGGGAGATGCTGTGGCAGCACAGAGCAAAGAGGTTTCCCCAGAGCACCATGCATGGTCTGAAAAGGAGGGAGGAACCAGCAGTTCTTAACCCACATCCTCCAGCAGCTGCATCCACGTACCTTGCTCTGCAGGATACAGTCACAGCCATGTGTCACCCCCATTAGGATCCAGACTGCATCTCTCTGATTGTCATGGAGACTGTTTCAAAGTCTTGCCGTGCTCCAGCAGCAGCGGCAGCAGCAGCAGAGGACAATAGCACTTGGTCTTAAATGGCTGAAAAGAAAGCAACAAAGCACAGTGTAAAAGGGAAGGACCTGTGGCTGAAATGGATAAGAGTACAGCAAGACACTCTTCTCACTGCTGCAGAGGGCTAGAGGTGTAGGTTAGGGCAACCTTCCAGAGGTGTATAGCTGTGCCTTCAAGATAAGCAGAGGAAGAGCATTCTCAAGGATAGCACATTTCTCCTCCTTCTTTCTCCCCCTCAAGCTAAGTTGCTGGGGTGTTTTAGATTAAATATGTTAATTAGGAAACTATTTAGTTTACGAGGTCTTCTGCTTTTTCATTCCCGTGGGCACTGTAAACACACTGAGTTTTGGAGTAAGTGATATACAGTGACGCGGAATGAGAGGCAGGCAGAGGCACAGGCAAGTGCAAGGAATTAATAGAGTTGGTAGTTTACAAGACCTGGGGCAAAGAAGTGATTTTCAGAAGAGTGAGGCAGCAGTTTTTTGTCAAATAGCAAATTTGCTAAGAATTGCAATTTATGACCATCCATAAGCTATTTTTAAGTCAGGTCAGTTCTCAGAAGAGACGGGAGTAAAAGGTACAACTGAGCAACATAAAATGCAAGCAAACATAAAATGCAAAATTCAAATGCAAAACCAACTGGGTTTAATCCCATCTCAGAAAAAAAATTTGTAAGACCAAACTGTCACTGTAATTGCACTTAATAAAATAGAAGTATAAACATCTGAAAAATTGTTTGGTGACCTACCTGTTAAGATTTTCATATTACCAAAAAAAAAGGTCACAGAATTTCTCCAAGGACTGAGCAAAAGCATTATGGATAATTCTAACATTTTTATCTGAGTCAGTTCTTTGAAAATGTGAAGGACACTAGGACTCACAAAAGGGGAGTAAAAGGTTACACTGGAATCAGAGGAATAGTAGAGCTAAAGATGCTTCCACAAGCTTCTTCCACTGCATTCAGAGCAGACTTGATGTAAGAAGCAGATCTGCTGTGGAACAAACCAATACAGTGGAAAATCATGCTCAGAGTAAAAATGAAACATTTTCCTTTGGAAAATGAAAAAGATGAGTCGAATCAGCATGTATGCAATCTCATGGTAATAAGCAAAGCAGGCTTCAAATCTCCTGGGAATATCCTAGGCAAAATTCCGCACCATGAAAACTTCACTGCTTGCTCTGTACAATTCTTTGGGGTGAGAAAATTCCTGTGACAGATCCTTTCTCAAGGAGGACATGGAGGAACAGGAGCATGAGATGAAACAATTGCTAATGTCTGCCAAAAGAAAAAACCCACAGAAATTATGAGAGTGACAACAGAGTGACATTTCTAAGAAAAATGTTCAGATCAAGGCACCCTGCACAAACCCAACAGCTTTTCCACCTTGCTTGGAAAAGCAGTTGACTGTGAGCAAAGTGAAAGGAAAAAAGCTGGAGAAAATTAATTTAGGTGCTATTTAGGAGTCTGGGAGCCACATGGCTTTAGGAGCTGTTTGGGCCTCTCATTTGGGGTGCTGGAACAGCCTGCAAAGCAATCACTTTGCTCCCAGGGGCCATCAGAACTGGCAGGACACCACCCACACCAGCACAAGCGTTAGGTGATGATGCTGTACCGTGCCCGTGCTTATGTGGAATGCTTAATTCAGCTGAGAGAGGGAATTCCACCTAATGAACATACAGCTCGTGATAAGGTCCACTGCCCTGAGCAGGAGCACTCCAGCTGGTATCTGCAGACTTCTGCTGGTTGCAGGACTACTGTGTTTTATTTGCACACAGAGGAAGAGTGTGAAAATGGAGGTAAAAGGCAGTTCTGGGGTGCTGAATTTTGCTCTCTGCATTTTCCTTTCACTGTGCTAGGTCAAACAGCTGAAAGTAGGTTGTCATGTTTGAAAATTCAAAAACTCACTTATTTACCACTCTGCTGTGCAGGTTTCCATCCCTGGGATCAAGCCTGAGAGAGGACACTGCAAATCACAGAGTGTGATGGGCAGAAAAATGCACTATGTGAGAGGGTCAGATTTTCCATGTGAGATATTTCATATAATTCTGAGGTAGATTTCACCTTGTGAGCCTCTTTCTAAGAGATCATTTTATATGTATAGCAGAATACAAATTCCCTTAGTTTCTCTTGTGTATGAGGTGCCCTGTAAAATAAATATCAGTTACACAGCAAATTGCCTTTACTATACTGTGCACAACTATTTTTTAATCCAGTCAATTACCTGGCTTCATGTAGAGAAAATTAGCGATAGAATAATTTCCTCTGTCTCTCATGGACAGAATTATACTGTCATTTACATGTCAGACACCTGTGGGGTGCCCAGGAATGCTGTGAAGCTTTCAATGACTGCCTGCTCCCAAGCTTTTTGACCCAAGCACAGAGCTGCAGCCATTTTGTTCAGGAATAACACACCTCCCACATGGTCACAGCCTTCATTAAGGTGTAATTTATAATGTTTCAATAAAAAAAATATATTAATTTTATTCTCTGTATTCATAAAGCGTAACTGCTCAGACAGAAGGAGATTATGTTAATAAACATTTTGGCACCTCTTCTTGGGGAAAGGGTAAGAGAATTGGGATTGTTCAGCCTGGAGAAGAGACGGCTTTGGGGTAGCTTGATTTGCCCTTCCAGTGCCTGAAGAGAGGCTGAAGAGGCTCTTCAGTGCCTGAAGAGAAGAAAGATGGAGAGAGACTATTTCCAAGGGCACGTAGTGACAGGACAAGGAGGGTAGGTTTAGATTAGATTTTAGGAAGAAATTCTTTACTGTGAGGGTGAGGGTGGTGGGGCACTGGAACAGGTTGTCCAGAGAAGCTGTGGATGCCCCGTCCCTGGAAGTGTTCAAGGCCAAGCTGGATGGGGCTCTGAGCAATGTCAGCTGGTGGAAGGTGTTGCTGTCCACAGCAGCGAGGTTCGAACAAGGTGATCTTTAAGGTCCCTTCCAATGCAAGCTATGCTATGATTCTATTAAATAAAAACTCTGAAGGGCAGCACAAGAGGGCTGCTAGACATCAAACAAATCCATGTGAAGCAAATGTCATCAGCAAGATACTGAAAAAAACAATATAAGCCGATCAAAAGGAGATTTGCAGATAAGCAGTGTGATAATGTGATCAGATGCACCAAATACTGAGGATTTTATGGGTTTTGCCTTGAATTTTTCTGAGAAAATCGGTCAGCAAGAAAATCAGTTTTCTTATGCTTAAAACCTGTATTTTTGCTGCCACCACCAAGTTCAAACCCTGATTAACTCTGAGATTTCCTCAGATGAGGATAGTATATGTCACTCAGTCAAATTTCTAAGAAAAAAAATCTTAGCTTTATCACCAAAGTGAGCAGTTTAGAGCAAGTCCTCTCCAGGAGCTTGCCCATACTGGAGGTGCCTCTGCAGCCTGAGCCAGGTCTGTGCAAGGGCTGCCTGCTCCTGGAGTTCTGGTGTGCTAACAGTGGCAAACACACACATTCCAGGAGAGGGAGATGGCTGAATCAAGTGATGGGGGTGCAGAAGGAGGTGCATTAATCTTCAGTCCAGAGAGATTCACAGACCATTGTTCCCAGGAATGGAAGAGCTTTTAGAAGTTTTTCAGCACTGAAGGCAATGATAATTACATTCCTACGTCCAGCATGGCTTGGAAAGGGACTGATTCTCTGCTGTACTGCCTTGGGGTAATACAACAAGAGGAAATAAACTTGAAGAATACTGGTTTTCCTTTTTAGCATGCACCACACACACTGGCTGCTCAGGACTCATAGTGGAAGGTCTGCTGTCTGACTCAGGAATCAGTGTTTTGTCTCCATAAAATATCCATGGCAAGTAAATATCACTGTCCATGTGCAGCAGATGTGCAATGTGAAGGCTGCCATAGTCCCACTGTAGTCAGCAAGGCTGGAGAAGGAAAAGGAAAGCAGAAACCCTCTCGAGTCAGGCAAGCTGGGCACTGCTGCCTGGAGCTGGGGACGGATGTTCCCTCCCACTGCAGCCAGGCTGTCTCCAGCCCTTTCCCTTACCTGGCCACTGCTGTGGGGGTTGCACATTTCCACCTTGGCTCTGACAGATTGATGGCTGCTTGCTTTGGGTGAGCAGGTCTGGCAGAAGCAGACCTTAAGCAAAACTTAAGAGTTTGCAAAAGAGAAAAAGCAAACAGAAAAACTGCTTTGCAAATTACACACAATAACTCTTTTTCTTTCCTTTTTTTCTTTCTTTCTTTATTTTTTTTTAAGTTCTTGGCACATTTCACCCCTGTAACCTTTAATATTTTTAAAACCCAGAGCTTTTGCAATTTTGCTGCACACACCAACCCTTAGCTTCTTCTCCCAAATAAGCAGATTTATGATTAAACACAGCAGCTGTTAAAATGTTATGCACAATTAGTAATACTGGAAGCTTGTTTTCCACCATATTTCAAATCAATTGAGATATAGGGCAGGGCAGATTTCTAGGTTGTTAATAGCCTAGCTGCAGCACAAGGGGAAAAAATGTTATGATTGCTTCAGGTAGATTTTTTTTTTCATTTGGTTTTGTAGTCTGATCATCAGTGAAAATAAGACATGTGCTCTATGGTCTCTGTAACCTAATGCCATTAAATAAAGCACTGGAGCATGTTTTCATTATAAACTACTTTCAACTCTGGTCAGCTCTAGCTTGGAAATCACACAGAAAGTGAACTGAATGACAGAAAAACAACAAAAGGATTAGAGTTAAGGAAAGGTTTTAGGACTTTTTAATTTCTCTTGGGGAGAGATTAATAGTATCAGGACCTTCTGGGCAGCACTTCTGCTAGAGGCAGCACATGGGAAGAGGCACGGCTGGTAGGCAGCACACAGGCCACTTAGGATTTATTGCATAGGTCAAACCTAACTGTAAACACCAGGAGACTAATAGGGAGACAGCTTGGCTCTGTGCAGCACTGGTGTCTTGGTGTTGATTAGATTAATTCCCAAGTATTTGGGCTGCTGTTTTGAACCAATTTTTTTCCTAAGGTGGAAGCCTGAAGAAAAAATTTTGAACACAGGGAAAAGGCATATGTACCAAAGCAAAAGAGGTGGTCACAAGGTGTAAGCAGAGTGCAGATAGAGAGGCTGCAGCCTCCCTCATTCTATATAATCAGGCAAGGGACTGTGTCCCAGAGCTGGAGCACTGCTGACAACCAGCAGGATCCTTCTCCCCACCACACAGCTGGCAGACATCCCCATCCCTAGGGACACAGCCAGCCGAGCCATGGCCTGGGCTAGGGAGCTCTAATGTACACACCTTGATGGGGGGTGGTGAACAGTTTAAAGC